CTCTCTCACTCTCTCTTTAAAAAAAAAAAAAAAAAAAAAAAAAAGCAGGCATCCACAGTAGTCCAAAGCCAGCCAGTGCCACGGAGGGACGAGGTGGTCCTTCCAAAGGATGGAACCCTGTCCTTCACCCTGGAGCAGAAGGATGTCCTGGCCGACGGGCCACATGGATGAGCTTCCAGGTGTCCTGCGGATGACCCACCAGAGTCACAGAAGACAGCACTGTGCCTCCTCTCCACCGGTGGAATAGGAGACTCCAAGCGGATGGAAAGGCCGTTCAGGGTCCAGGGACTGAGGACAGGGCATGAGCGATGAGTCTGCAAGGCATGATGGGAACGCACCTACCTGCACAGGTGTGGCTCAGAGGGAGGGCACTTGCCTAGCAGGCACAAGTGGGTAGAGCTGGTGACAATGGTCACACAACATTGTGACCGTATTTTTGGTATGCCACTTTGCACTTAGAAACGGTTGAAATCAGGAATGTTCTTATGTATATTTTACCGTAATCGTAACAGTAATGATAAAGATTCCCAGGCAATAGTTTGCATATTCGATTTTTTAAATTACTGCATCAGCTGGGAGCGGTGGCACCCGCCAGTGATTCCAGCGGCTCGGGAGGCCGAGGCAGGAGGATTTCAAGTTCAAAGCCAGACTAGCAACAGGAGGCGCTAAGCAACTCAGTGAGCCTCTGTCTCTAAATAAATAAAATACAGAATAGGGCTGGGATGGAGCTCGGTGGTCGATGCCGCTGAGTTCAATCCCTGATACAAAAAAATAAAAAATTTTTAAAAATAAAATAAAGTACTGCAGGGACTGGGGATGTGGCTCCAGCGGTAGCGCGCTGGCCTGGCATGCGCGGGGCGCTGGGTTCGAATCTCAGCACCACATACAAATAAAATAAAGACGTTGTGTCCACCGAAAACTTAAAAATAAATATTAAAAATTCTCTATTTTTCTCTATTAAAAAAATAAAATAATAAAATAAAACACTGCATCTTCAAAATAGAAAATAGGCGCCTCATGCCATAGTCCCGGGACCCTCTTCACCTCCCTCACCCCGCCCCGCCCTTCCGGCTCTGCGGGAGCAGGGTCCTCGGTGGCCACCAGGTGGCGCCCTCGCGCCTCGCCGCGCGAGGGACATTTCGCACCCCCGCGGTGGGCGGCGCGGAGGCGGCGCGATGCGTCAGCTGGACCCGCGGGCCGCCGAACCGAGGGAACCGAGCCGCCGGGCCGAGGCCAGGCCGGAGGATGGCGGGGGAGGGGACGCAGATGTGAGTCACTGGGAGCCCCCGAGGGGCCGTGGGAGACAGTCCCACGCGGGTCTGCCCGCCTAGCTCGTGCAATGCCTGGCCCGCACGGTGGCTCCGACTGCGCTGCGACAGCCTCTCCAGGCCTCGGCTTCCCCTTTTTCCCCGCTCCTGGATCAAATAAAGACTCTGCGACACAGGGAAGGGGTCGGTTACACACCACGCCTCCATAAGGGCCACCTGGGGRCGAGGAAACGAAAGTGACCATCATCACTGCGACCAAGTCCCAGTCACTGGCGTGYAGCGCAAACCAGAACCGCGCTCGCCAGGCCTTCTCCCGGGCCCAGTTTCTCCTCGCAGGCGGGTGGCGAGACGCGGTCAGAGGGTGGACCGAGAGGCGGCCGGCAGGGGGCGGGATCCGCCAGCACAGCGCCTCCCCGCAGCGCCACCTGCGCCTCCCACGCGCACCCCACCCTGAAACTTGCCCGGGGTGCGGAGGGGGCGCCCGGTCTCTTCCCCTGGGTGCCCAGGGCTTTGCAGCCCCTGCATCTGGGGACTTCCAGGTGCTATCGCGACCTCCAGATGACATTTATTGAGCGCCGTGTACCCTTCAGGCTCCCTCCAGCCCCATGAGGCCGGTGTGCATTGATTCTTAGGGGACAGGTGGGGACCAGAGGTTGCCTTTGCAGCCCCCGCTTTTGTAGAGGCCTCCTGAGAACTACCAAGCTTATGGGGTGCTTATTGTATGCCCGTAATTTTACACCATGCACCCATGAGGTCGGTGCCGCTTTCCCCAGAGAAGTCAAGTCACCCTGGGTGTGGGGTACCCACGGCCCGGAGAGACCCACCTAATGACCTCCTGGGAGGGATCAGTATGCAAACTGAGCCCCTTCCCCATGCGATCCCCCAGCACAGCTTGGAAAGGCTCAGGCCGGGACTCTCCGGGGATAAGGAGGGGATTCCAGGTCCCCCCCCCGCGCCCCGCCCCGCGAAAGTCCAGGCAGCCTCGCGCGCTGGAAATCCCGCGCGCGCCCCGAACCGCGGCGCGGCTGCCGGGAAATCAGGAGAAAACTTCTGTTTTTTTTTTTCTTTTCTGGCACTCGCGGGCTCCCACCCGGCTCCCTCCTYCCAGCTCTCGCCCCCACGTGGGGCATCCTAGCGCAGCGCTCCGCCCCCTCCACGGCGGCGGCCAACCGAAGCGCTTGCTGCTCTGGCCTTTGTTTTTCCGCCAATAGAAGGGAAGAGTAGTCTCGTCGTGGCCACGCCCCTGCCTTACAAGGCTATAAAAAGCGGCGCCGGTGGCCGCGGGCTCAAATCGCCAAGCTAGGGTGCCGAGCGTGGATCTTCAACCTCGTGGATTATTTCTCGCTGAGGACTTTTGCTGTCTTTTCTTCACCCATTTTTACTGAAGGAATTCTTTTACTTCCCGAAGTTCTTGGACAGTTCCGGCTCCGTGGGAAGGTTTTGGGCTCTCTGGCTCCGGTTTTGCAATTTCTCCTTGGGATTTGTCGTGGGGTTGCGTCCACTGTGGATTATAACTGCAACATGACGCTGGAAGAGCTCGTGGCGTGTGACAATGCAGCTCAGAAGTAAGTAGCTGGGGCCCCGCCGCCTGAGGGGTGGACTGTGCGGCGGCGCTAGGTGGCCCGCCCGGCGCTGACTCTCCTCTCCCTGGCTTCAGGATGCAGACGGTGACCGCCGCGGTGGAGGAGCTGTTGGTGGCCGCGCAGCGCCAGGACCGCCTGACGGTGGGGGTGTACGAGTCAGCCAAGCTGATGAATGTGTGAGTCAGACCCCCTTCCTGGGCTGGGTGCAGTGGGGGCGCCCCTCTGCTTTGCAGTTCCCTATGCCCTGTCTCAGGGCTGAGACTTAGCGAGTGCCCCCCCCACTATGCATTCGGGGTTCCTCTGCTTTTTGGGGGATAGGAGTTGCAGCGTCCTGACATGACAGTGCATGGCTTGCAACCCCCCTTTTGAACGTCCTATTCTCCATATTTTGATTCGTGCCCCCCTCCCCAGTCAGCATGCGGATGCCAGTCTCCACGTCCTGTAGTTTCTCTTTGCTCTTGCAAACTCCTCGTGCTTGGTGGCCTTTCCATGACCCTCACTTGACTCTCTTAACTCCCTCAGGGACCCTGACAGCGTGGTCCTATGTCTCTTGGCTATTGATGAGGAGGAACAGGATGACATCGCCCTGCAAATCCACTTCACTCTCATCCAGTCCTTTTGCTGTGACAACGACATTGACATTATGAGGGTGTCCGGCATGCAGCGGCTAGCACAGCTTCTGGGAGAGCCCACTGAGGTGCAGGACACCACTGAAACCCGGGACCTGCACTGCCTCCTGGTCACGGTGAGCTGGGTCCATGTTTGTCAACAAAGTCGGGCTGACCAGTCCTGTACCAGCTCAGGGCTCAGCCATGCTTGGCATGTCCCGTGGGCAGCCCTGCCCTGGCCTCATCACCCAGGCAGCTATTTTGAGCTGGCCTGTTTTCCCCAAAGGGGCCCCAGAGAGGGAGTCTCCCCATCTCCTCCTGGGGCCCCCACTAAACCATTCCTTTTTCCTCCCACAGAGCCCTCACTCAGACACCTGGAAGAGCCACGGCTTGGTGGAGGTAGCCAGTTACTGCCAAGAGAGCCGGGGCAATAACCAGTGGGTCCCCTATATCTCTCTCCAGGAGCGCTGAGGCCCTTCCCAGCATCAGGACCTGTTGAGTTGCTGCCAAAAAATAAAACACATTTGACCCTCCCCCCCAGAACAAATCCCCCAGAACCACCCACCCCATGAGACCATCGGGGGCAGAGTCACTGAGACTGAGGACCAGGAGGGGGAGTGTGCGGCCACCCCGGCGGCTATCCAGGAACAGCGCCAGAGGTGGCCTCGAGAGAGGAGAAGAGGGGACCCAGGCGAGCAGGAGAGGGGACCCTGGACCAGGTCTCCTGAGCAGAAGCTGGAGGGGGAGCTGCTGCCTCCCCCATCGTGGAGGACCTGGACTCTACACTGCAGGGTTGGGTGAGACTTATTGTCCCCCACCCTCCTTGAGACTGTGGCTGACATCTGCAGAACGTGGCTTGCAGGGCTGAGGGCCCACACCCTCGCGGGAGCTAGGGCTGATGCCACGCTGTGCCCTTGAGCTCCCAGGTTGCGAGCGACAGAGACCATCTGTTACGTGCACTCGTTACTCAACCACTGAGAGACTGATGCTCAGACAGATTTTTATTTCTTTGATGGCCTTGTAATAAACTTCTCAAGCCTCTGGGTCCTGGTGTGTATTTTCGGCTTCTGCGAAGGAAGACGGCCCCGCCCCCCGCGCTGCGAGCCGCGGCGCCCTCCCGCCCCCCGCGCACCAGGAAGTGTGACTTAGTCCCCCTTAGAGCTCCCGGCTTTGCAGGAACAGTGCCTCTTCTCTCTGCAGCAGGCGCCACCACCCAACTCCAGCAAATCTTGGCCTTTTTTTTCCCTTCTACCCTGTAGCAATTAAGAGACCGGTTTATTACGAAACCTGGCCGCCGTGCCACCGCTGGTACCGGCCGTCCTGGAGCCTGGCCGAGCCCTGGGCGCACTGACGCACCCCGGGGCGGGGGGGGGGAGCTGGCTGCAGCCCCCACAACCCAAGGTCCGGAGGGGTCACTGGGGCACCTGGGACCACACAGCGAGGTGGCCCGAGCTGCCGACTTGTCCCCACCCCCAACCACCCCCCAGGGTCGTCTTCCTCGCAGGGCGGCCTCTTAACTTGCACCAAAGGAAAAAAAATTTACCCAAAGTAAAATCAACAAGGAGAAAAGGTACCCCAGGAAGTCGGCCTCCGGCCCGCTGGGCCTGGCCGCGGGTGCGCTTTGCCTCCCAACCGAAACTGCCAGCCGCCGCCGGTCCTCCCGGGCGACTCCCCCGCCCCGGGGCGCGCCGCCCGCGCCGGCCTGGGTCCTCGCGCCCCGCGTCTTCAGGGAGCGCGCGGGCGGAGCGGGGAGGCCCGGCCGCTGGCCGCGACCTTTCCCCAGCCCGGCGTGGGCGCCGAGGAAAGCCCCGGCGGTCCCCGGGAGGAGGAGGGGGAAGTCCCGGCGGAGGAGCGCAGGGGTGGACGGAGCCGCGGGAGGGCAGCGGGGTCCGGCCGAGGGGCGGGGTGGGGGGCAGGGGAGGGGTCCCTGTCGGAGGTGCAGGCGGGGAGAATGGAGGTGAGCCTTCCAGAGCCTGGGGGCAGCGAAGCTGGGGACCCGAGAGGCAGGGGGTTGGGGGGACCCCCAGAAGCAGCCAGTGAGCGAAGGGGACCTGGGGAGAGGGAGCAGGAGACTGAGAGGCTCCTGGGGGCCTGGGAGGACTGGGGTGGAGGGTCGGCGGTCCCAAGTTCCACGCTTCCCTGCAGGCCCCGGTGGCTGACGCTGCTGGCTCCACCTGTGGCGTGGAACCCGCCCTGTCCTCCCTGACCCTGGCCTTGCACAAGGGCCCTGTGACCTCTGACCCTCTCACCCTGGGCCTCCGGTGGTCCGATGTGAGCACCACCTCAGGACCCCAGCGACATGTGGGATAGCTGGGCCCCAGGGGTGGGACCCTCAACCAGGGGCAACCTCTCAGGGTCTTGGTCTCCCCTCTGAAAAACGCGGGCAGTCATCTCCCACTTGACTATTGAGAAAGTGAAACCCTCCTTCTTTGACCAGCTTCCATATTTCATTCCTTCTGTGATCCCTGCCCTCAGCAGGCAGAGTCACACCGGCCCAGGCCACGCTGCTGGTGTTCACCTGCCACCACACCCGTGGGTTCCCAGAATCACCCTCTATCCCCGTGGCCGCTGGGAGTTGGCAGAGMCTGAATGAGCAGGAGAGGGCAGCCTTCGGGGCACCATGAGCGTCTCCAGACAATATTTTAAAAATTCAAATGAAGGGGGAAATCCGTGGCAAGCAAAGTTTCAAAATTAAAAACCAGGACAGGGTGAGGATTCCYGGTCGGTCCTCATGCCTGGGATCCGGCCCCCACACTGCTCGGATCTGCCTTGTTTTCAAGTTTTGGMGTTTTGTTCCACCACTTTGCAGAGACGGTGAGGCTCTGAGGCGGACCCCCGGAAGCCCCCAGCTGTCTCCACCGCCCCCAATGCAGAAGCAGAAGCACAGCTTTCGGGGTGAATTCTCTCCTCATTGCTACCTTACAGTCACTGTCATCCACACACTGTCCCATGGTCCTCCTGCCAACCCCACGTGTGGCCTGTCCCTTGAGTTAATGACTAATGATGGTGCGCATTTCTTAACTCCTCCCCAGGTGACCCCAGAAGCCCCTTTAAACTTGACTGTGGTCCCAGGAGGAAGATGTTGTCCCATTTCCTACCAGACGCTGAGGCTGGAGTGGAGGGCCACAGGCTGGCCAGGACCTCGGGCTCCCACCCGGCTCCGCTGGAGGTTAGCCCTGGMCAGGCTCCTGCCCTCAGGACGGGATGCCGGGAGACCGTGCGTGTTCTTTGGCAAACAGGAGCGAGACACAGGCACACAAGCCCGGCTCATACTGCACAGGTAAACGCACACCGGCCCCCACACGCCCACCCACACACTCCAGGCAGAGAGTTCCAACTCCAGCTTCACCCATGGCCTTGGGCAGGTGACTAACTCACCTGTCTGAGCTCACGCTGCAGGTGTGTCAGGGACACGGCCTCCCTTAGCACAGGATCCTACAGATGAGATGTCCACACACCAGGCCGTGTGCATGGACACACAATCACACGTAGTGGACACATGCATCAGCACAGGGGGACTCCCTAGCCGTGCCTGAGCCGTGTGTGTGCTTCTTGGTGTTTCCCTGACCCCCCTCCAGGGTAGCAGGGGTGGCCTTGTGGACACGTCATGAGGCACACATGGTACCCACATCCCTGGGCCAGGCAGGGGGGGGTGAGACAGAGCCAGGTGGAGACCCTGGAGGACACCTTGCAGTGGATGGCCTCGCGGGCCTGCTGTGCCCGTCACCTGTTAGGCCTTAGTGACCTGCAGGGTGTAAAGAGCACAGCGTTCCGAGAGGCACCKCGGCTGGACGGCAGCTGGATGAGGAACGATGGCACTGCACAATGTGTGACACAGACTCCAGCCACTTACAAGGGGAGCTCAACACACCCATGACCTCTATGTCCTGGCAGGGACGGACTGTTCTGTCCCTAAGGGACACATGTTGGCCTTAGAGTGCTGGATGCTGGCCATCTCCATAACACCACCCAGCTCGGAAAACGTGACCCTGTGGAGGTGACAGTCGTGTGACCTTGGCAAGCGGCTCCTCCTCCTTGGGCTTAGTGTCCTTCCTAGGCAATGGGGATGCGGATCCCTGGGCCCGCTCCTGGGGGTCGTGAGCATTAATTAAAACACGTCCCACACTCAGGGCGGTCCATGTTGGCTCTTCTAGGGGGGCAGAGTGTGGCGGCGCCCGGGACTTCCTAGCTGAGCACAGGCCTGCCTGTCTCTGTCCCTGGGGAGGGGACCTTGCAGCTGCACGGGGCACACCGGGCCTCTGGGAGTGAGCCCTGGCCTGGGCACTCCTGACCAGCGGTGTCTGGGGGACACCCACAGGAGGGGCAGAGGTGCCGTTGTGTTGTGTAGAGAGCTCTGATTGCCCTGAAGGCTGTCTGTGTGTCCTGGGCTCTCGGCCTGGGGGCCTCCTTACACACTCCTCACCCATGGGCACAGCACCCACCAGAACTCAGGCCTGCAGATGATCACGGACACACACACCACCACACCCCTGCGTGAGCATCCTGTGGCTCCCAGTTCCAGAGCCAGAAGTCCAAGGTCAAGGGGCAGGTAGGGCTGTGGGGAGACTCTGTCCCCGCCCTCCCCCAGTGTCTGTGGCCTCAGGTGCCACCTGGCTTGTGGGTGGCCATCTTCTCCCTGCGCCTCAAGCCCACCTGCCTCTGCATGTGATGGTCTCAGGGTCCACTGTCCACATCCCTCCATTTGGGGGCAGTGCTGGGGTGGACCCCAGGGTCTCCCACCTGCCAGGCCAGCACTATCCACTGAGCCACACCCCAGCCCAACTTCCCCCTCTTATGAGAACACCAGCCATATTGGGGTTCGGGTCCACCTGATGATCTCATCTTCCTTAAGGTGGCAGAGATGCAGTCTGTGTGAAGTCACGTGGTGTCAGAGCCCTGACTCCTCTGGCGGGATGCAGCCCACCCGCAGTGCCCTGGCACGCACCTGGCACGCGCCCCCAGCCGCTGCTGAGACGTCCCCTTCAGCAGACCTGGAACCCCACTGTGGTGCTCTTTGCTGTCTTCCTGCCATGGCACAGACCTTGGCACACGGCAGGGGCTCAATGCACACTGAAGGGATCAGAGGTGTCCTCTTCGCCCTGCCAAACACCTCCCAGGGGCTGGCCATGCCGGCCCCCCAGGCCCCGCCCCAGGGAGGCATGGAACAGAGTGGCCGCTGGGCCGCCACTGGCCAACCAGGGTGAGAGGGCTTGGATCCAGGGACTCTTCACCCACCAGCTCTAGCCCCCATGTTTGAGAGCTGTGGCTGGGGTGCCTGGTCCTTCCACTTGGGACTCACATGGAGGAGTCCCGAGATCTTGCCTGTGAGAAAGCCCTACCCAGGTGGAGGGATAGGGAGCTGTGGGGGGGGGGGCAGGGAATCACCCAGGCTTTGTCCAGGGTGGCCAAGGGGACATGGCATCTCTCTGTACCCCCAGGTCCATCCTCAGACTCCCRCGTCCTCTGCAACTTTATTATTATTTTTTGTTTGTTTTTTAACTCTTTTTTTAATAATACTTTTTCAGTTGTGAATGGGCCTTTATTTTATTTATTTATATGTGGTGCTGAGAATCAAACCCAGTGCCTAGGCAGGTGCTCCACCACTGAGCCACAACCTCAGCCCCTTAACTATCTTTTAAAAATATATATTTTATTTATTTTTACATGTGGAGCTGAGGATGGGATCCGGTGCCTCACACACGGAGGCATGCGCTCTGCCACTGCTGAGTACCAGCCCTGTTTGTGACTGTTTCTGAGGTTCTGGGGTGGAACCCAGGGCCTGGGGCATCAGACAGGCATTGACCACTGAGCCCGCTCCAGCCAGCTGTCCTGGGCCCTGGGCAGTGGTTCTCAGGGCCTTGGGCACACTGCCATCTGGCTGGTTGTTGGTGTCCCAGGGATCCACGGATCCACCTCTGCTGGACGCAGCTCCCCCTTTCTAGGGTGCAGGGGATCCAGAGGACCTGGGAGAGCCTTTGGAGGATCCCCACACTGTCCTCTGGCCTTCTCCCAGGTCCCTCCCTCCATGACCCTGCACCAAGAGTCCTCCTGGCCTTGAGGGCCCCAGAGCCCCCCCAGTTTCTCAGCTCCTAGCTACTGTCCACGGGTCCCCTCCAAACCTCTCTCCCCCATGGGTGCGCACTCTGCTAGATGTCCTGACCCCAATGCTTGACCCTGGGGTAGGGAGGCAAGTTAGGGTGTGGTTGGGTGTATTTGAAGGAAGGGGGGCCTTGGAAATCTGCAAGGAGGGACCTCATAGACCAGTGTGGGACCCCAACCCACAGTGTGGTGAGGTCCACAGGATGGGATATTGCACCTGTGACAAACAACTGTGCAATTGTCCAGGGACCCACTCCCACCAGGATTGCTTCCAGAGACCCTGAATGGCCCCCAGGGGCACAGAGGCCAAGGGCTGCCTCCTCTGCCCAGGGATGCTGGGAGGTGCAGTCCCAGCCACACCGGAGCTGTGGGAGGAGCCGCAGGGGGCTTCCTCTGGCCTCCTCCCTATTCTTTCTCTGCATTGTTCCCACCCCACCCACCCCACCCACCCCAGCCTCCTGGGGCGGCTGTTCCCAGGCTCTGGGGGTGAGGGGCGCTGCAGGACAAGAGGCAAAGAGCCCCGTGCACTTGGGTGTGCCAACTCCAGACGTGAGTGCACACGTGGGAGCAAGCCTGTGATCACAGGCGTGCGGCACGTGGGGCGGTGTTTGTGCCACCTCGCACACAGCTGGCGCCATGAATGCCCATTGGATGGCTCCACGGCGTGGAAGGGCAGAGTTCAGGTCTTACAGGGAGGGCCCGCGGTGGAGCTTCGGGTTTGACTCTCCTCTCTCCCACTGACTGGCCATGGCAACTCAGCAGGCGTGACTCCGTTTCCCCATCCATAAAGGAAAAGCCGAACGGTCYTCCCACGTGGCGAGGTGAAACCCGCGGGAACCTCGCTGCACCTTCCTCCACCGCACCCTCTCGCCGGGCACTCCGGGGGAGGAGCGGGCAGTGACCCAGGCCCTCCCCAGCAGGACCCCGGCTTCCCCGTTCCTTAAACTGGATAATTGGAGACAGAGGCGGTTTTCAGGGTCTTGTCTCCTAGGTTCCCCACCTTAGGAGCCCCCCCCCCGACTCTCACCAGCGCTTCCTCTGGCGCGCCCTGGGCGCACAGCCTGTGCGCTCCGAGCCCCCAGCGCCAGCTGCTGACCCCCTCCCGTGCTGGGCTGTACCATCCTCCCTCTGGTGCCCGCCAGGCGTGGTGTCTGCGGCCGCCCCGCCGTGGGACGGGGTGGGGGGGTCCGCGCCGGCAGCGGCCCCGGCGGCGTCTCCCTCCCCCAGCCCCTGGCGGCGGGCGGCCTGGCCGAAGGCGGGGCGTCTGCACAGACCCTCCTTTTGTGAGCGGCGCCTTCCCTGGGCGGCCTGGCGCGCAGGGCCCGGGCACGGCGCCAGCGCCCGGAATAGCCTCCCTGCCCCGACGCCCGCCCAACGCCCCGGCGGAGCCGCCTGACCTGCCCGGCCAGGCGAGGGGGGGGGGGACCGCGGCCCCGCGGCGCGGAGCCCSGGTTCGTGCTCAGCTGCACGGTGCTGCGGCCGCCACCTAGAACCTACTGTGTGCAATGCCTCTCCTGCGTACTAACGCCCGCTGTGTGCAGACCCCTGAAGGCGTGCAGGACCCACTGTGCACAGTCCCTTTCTAGCATGCAAGGCCTATGTGATGCAGACACCCGCATAATTCATGCAACACCTACTGTGTGCTAGCATCCACCGGTAAACAAACTTCTGCAGARAGCAGATGCTCTCAGGCATGCAAACACCTAGTGTGCCCAGACCCTGACATTAGACTCTCAAATGACTCTGARGGAGACGCCCTGTACTTTCAAACAGCCTCCCCCCTCTCTGTAGGCTCACGTGGGTAAAGCCCTTGATGCACGCGCACCTGCATTCTGACCTAGTCCAACAGCACACATTTCTAAGTTCAATGCTTATTGTGAGGCTGGGGCACAGTTCAGCAATAGGGTGTGTGCTTTGCATGCATGGGAGGCCAAGTTCAATGCACAGCGGGGGAGAGGGCACTTTACTGCGGACCCCCAAGCCTGCACACTCCTGCTGTGCCCAGATATYCACTCACCCTGTGGAAGTGTGCGTGTGCCAATTTGGGAGGGGAAAAGGATGCAGGGCATTACCCCCTCCAAGGTGCCTTTCTGTGTGCCTCAGTTTACCCCATGTGTGCAATGTGTGTGTCCAAGCCCTGTGAAACTTGACCCCCAGATTTGGGGCAAAAATACCTGGGACACACATTCAGAATCTCTCCTGGCTCTGACTTTGAGGGGCTTTGAGGTGTAGGAACTGGGGGACTGAAGACCCCTCCTCCTTGTGGGTGTGGGAGGTAGACTCAGGCAAGCAGGGCTGGGGGCTGGGCTTCTGGGGCCTTCCAGGAAGCCCAGGGGGCAGGTGCAAGGGCAGGCAGTCTCCATSGGCAGGGTGCCAGTCCTTGGCTTCCCTGAAACTGGGCACAGCAGCTGGGAGAGGTTTCCGGCCCGCCCAACCCCACCTGGCCCTGGGCACTCTCGAAGATGGGCTGGGCTGGTGGGCTGGTATCCAAGGAACAGCCAGGCCCGGCCTGCACATGCCCGTTGCACCAGAGCCACAATGGAACTGTGCACACACATTTGTGTGTGTGTGTGTGTGTGTGTGCATGTGCAGTCCCACGAGCCATGCTGGTGTCAACGCTGCCCCCTGCACACCAGCGTGTGTGCTCATACACGCAGGCTCACACTTGTACGTTGAATATTAAACACAGACAATGGGGGTGGGCATGTCCACCCACACATTCCACAGAACAGATACTTTTCTGCTTTGCTCACTGAGTCTCTAGTGCCCAACAGTCCATGGTTGGTCACTGTTTGTCGAGTGGACAAGTGTGTGAATACATGGACATGTCAATTTKCAAGTGTCTACGGAATGTCTGTTTTGCACCAGGCACTCGTACATCCGTGGAAAACCAAAAGATCCTTGGAACTGATGTCCTGGACCGGTGGGGAGGGGCGGGATGAACCACATCTGCACACACCTGTGGGTTCCCTGGTGCGTTGGTCAGGAAGCAGCTGGCTTCACATGAATTCACTCACCTGCAGAAACGAGAGCCAGGTGTCTGCAAGCCTCCTCCAGGGTCAGCACACACCGTCTCTCCTCTTCTCTCCCTCTCCTGGTCTCCCCTCCTGAGGCCACAGGGTGTCCAGGCCTGTGTTTGGAGGGCTTCCCAGGCATGGTGAGCCCCACGCCCCTCTCTGTAAATATTTTCCATTATTTCAGATTCTCCTAGGATTTAGACTGTGGCCTGTAGAAAGCTCCAGACAACATAGAGTCAGGGCTGGCCAGCTGTGCAGGGTGGGGACCCTTGGAAAGGGGTGCCAGACAMCCCCAGAAACCTTCCATTTCACAGTGAGAGAAACTAAGGCCCAGAGAGGGGAGGTTCTTCCTGTGTAGCTGGGGAGGGAGGAGGCAGATCATGAGAAACAGATGCCCCAGCTTTGTCCACATTCCCTGCAGCCAGCAGCAGCAGGTTCCCAYGGCCACAAGGGTGGGGACAGGAAGGTGGGGGACCCTGCTAGGAGGAGGGGGTGGGGCCATCAGGGTGGGAGGAGGGGTGACCTGGACAGACCAAGAGACATGCTCCGGCAGCTGCCAGCAAAGACCCAGGGTGGGATACAGTCACATTTGGTCTTCCTGCAGTAGATGCTGTTCCCTTCCTTCAGAYGGAAACCCTGCCCTGCTGGCATGTGTGTTTGTGTGTTGTGCAACTGTGTGTTGCATGTGTACATGCAGGTGCAGGTGTGTGTTTTTGCATGAACGTGGGTATATTTGCGTTTGGGGTGTGTTACTGTRTGTCTGTACTTACATGTTGATAGGTGCCTGTGGGCATGCATATATGTGAATTTGTGTTTATATACATGTGCATTGTGTGTGTGCACCTTTTATGGGCTTGTGTGTTCCTGTGTTTGTGGGTTTGAAGGTGTGTGGTTTACTGAATGTGTATTGGTGTCCGGGAGAGGGATGCTCCAGGACTCTGGGTGTCCCAGGTATTTATGCTCCCAATTTGGGKACCTAGTTTCATGGGGCTTGGACACACACATCACACATGCACATCCACAACAATGGCAACAATAAGGAGAGCCCTTGTGTTTTTGCTCTTTTGCTAAGTATCAGGCATTTTTAAAAACACCATACACTTGTTTGTTTTAAAGATAGGTTTATTAAGGCATAACTCATAAATTGCAAGCTCACACTTTAAAGTGTACAACTTGATGAGTCCTGACCAACGTCCACAGGGAGACCCATCACAGTCAAGAGGTRAGGGCTTTCTATGTCCTGCAGTCCCCTCCCTTCCCTTGGTAGTGTGTCCCTTCTGGCACCCAGCCTCTGGCCACCACTGACCTGCAGTTCAGCCTTTTCCAGAAAGATAAGCAGAATCACAAAGTGAGTAGTCTTGCTTTTCTCCCTTCCTCCCCCCCCCCCTTCCTGCTGAGCTGGGGAAGGAACCCTGCTGGCAGGCATGCTACCAACATGTCACATTCCCCAGTCTGTATGCAGCCTCTGAGTCTGTCCTTCCACTCAGCATAATGCATCGGGGACTCTTGATATTGCAAGTATCAAGTTCTTTTTTTTATCCTTTAAAAGAAGGGTAAACTTCACATAACATAAATTCACCTTTTAAAATGTACAAGTGCAGTAGTTTTTAACACAGTCACAGGGTTGTGTAGCCTCACCACTGTCTAACACCAGAACATTCCATTACCCCAAAAGGAAACCCCATTCCCAAGGGCAGCAGTCACGTGGTCCTCTCCCCCAGCCCTGCATCCACCAGTCCACTTKCTGGGCTGGACGTTTCCTATCAATAGAGTCACACGCTGTGGCCTTTGGGATCTGGTTGGCTCAGGAGACGTCTTCAAGGTCGCTCTGTTCCCCGTCACAGTACTTTTTAAAGAGAATTCTATTCCRTCCATCAACCTGGACCTCGGTTTACGGGCTCACCTGAGCACAGAGGTTTGGAAAGTTCTCGGTTTTCCGTGAGGAGGAATAGAAGCTCTATGGGCATCCACGCCAGGTCTTGGTGTGGACCGAAATTCTGATTACTCGTGGATAATTCAGGGCGTGGGCTGCCAGGTCCTCGAGGACTTGATGGGGTAAGTACTATTATTAGACCCATTTTATTTATCAGGAGACTAGCCTGCCACATGTCCGTCTCTCGCTCACACACACCAGACTGGGCCACCATCCCTCGCCTAGTCCCTCTAGGACCCGCGCGGGAGCCCAAGGTCCCCTTCCCACAGGCAGCACCAAGGTCGTCCTGGACCCCACCCAGCGCGGCGTCCCGCCCCACAGCCCGGGCACCGACAACCGTCGCCGCAGGGGCCTGGAGACCCAGACGCGCTGCAGACACTGCGATTTGTTCATCTTGCCAGCCAACCCGTCTCGTCCTGACGGTAATTAGCTCCCAGACTGGTGGGGAGACATGCACAGCCTCCCCGTCATCGCGACGGCCCCACGCCCACAGGCCACGGGCACCTGCAGGGAGACCGTGTGGGGCCGGGAGAGCAGGGTGTGGGCCGGGCGGTCCCCTGGGCCTCCTCCTCCTCCCAGCCCTGCGCTGTGCGTCCCAGTGKGCTCGTGCCCCGGGGGTCCCGGGCCTGGCACACGCAAGCCCGCGAGCTCGTGCAGGCCGACACACGCCAGGCACGCCCCTGCGTCGGTGCAGGCGAGGCGCGCGGGTGTGCACGCGGGGGGTGGGAGAGCGCGGCGCACGCGCTCGCGGCTGGAGCGAGGACGCCCCGCCCTCCGCCGGCCCCGGCGCGGGCCGGAAGACCTGCGGCGGCGCGCGCTGGCGTCACGGGTTTCCACGGCCCCCAGCGCGGGGGCCGGGGTTCCCTGGCGCAGGAACGCCCGTGACGGCGGCGCCGGCCTGCGTCGGGCGCGCGGGGGGCTGGACCCGGGCTGCGGTGACGTCAGCCCCTGGCGTTAGTGGAGCCGGCCTGCGCGGGAGGGAACTTGGAAAATGAAAGTGACACTAACTTATTTGTAGTGACAACACGTGAAGAGCGCTTAGGAGGGGGTCTGCCGCGATGTGATTCCTCATTCACGGGGAAACTGTGGCCCAGGCACTGCCACCCCCCCCCCAGCGCCTGCCTGGCACAGAGTCGGGCTCAGGTCTCATCTCCGCAGGGTGTGGTGACCAGAGGTGCTGCATCCTTCTTCTAGAGCTCTCTGGAATCCAGACCCCCCACTCCCCGCTGGTCACCCTCTCTTCTGCACAGCCAGGCACAGAGAGAGCCTGTGGGTGTCCTGTGCCACCCAGCCAGCCGGGAGCTGAAGCCAGTTCTGTCCACACTGTGGGTCTCGCCCCATCTCTGGCCTCTGTGGTGGCCAGAGGCGGTGCCCGCACCCGAGCTGCCCGGCGGGGTGTGCCCACCGGCTGCCTGAGTGCGGACGCCAAGGCTAACAGACTAAATATAGCCTGGGAGGAGGCTAGACCTATTTTTAGCCTGGGGAGCCTGGGCCCTCCGGTTTCCCAGGTCGGCAGCCCAGGGCCTGGACCTGGCGTTAGGAAGAAGGGGCGGCTCCACTTTCCGGGGTCCCCACCTCCTCTGGAGCTGGGTAGCCCAGCCAGGCTTTCTGCGCCACCTCCGCACCCCAACGCTGGGAGGAGGGTGGCGGGGAAGGTCACAGAGGGGCCTGGGTGTTGTCTTGCGGAGGGGTGGCACGCCGCCACCTCTCCTCAGCCGCCCCTCTCCTGCTGCCAGCCCGCGCTGGCCTTTTGTGGGGCTGGGAGGCTGCCTTCTATTTTGGGAAGGTGCTGGAATAATTTCCCTGGCTATTTTTAGCCAGTTTGGGGATTCCTCCACCCTGGCTGCCCGCCCCGCCTCTCCACCTCCTCCCTGTCCTCTGGCTCCTCCGGCTGACCGGTGGCTGGCCTCCCACAGAACCGGGCTGGCCCGGACAACCAGCCTGGGGGCAGCCCCAGGGTGGGGAGACCCCCAGATCTCTCGGTAGAGGGAAGGGAAGATTTAAAGGGCGTGTCCTTGTTCCAGGTGAGTGAGATGTCCGGCCTCCAGGAATCCGTGACTGCCTCACACCTGACTTCTGCCTGGGGCCGGGTGGGGCTCTCAGAGCCTGACCTTTCACCTCCTTTCTGGGTTGTCAYGTGTCTGCCTGCTGAGAAAACATCTTAATCTTGGCACGCATCCCTGGATTGGGGGTTCGCATGGCCCCAGTGGGAAGAGCTGCACCGTGAGGGGAAACTGAGGGCAGAGAGGGTGCTGGGGGCGCCCGTGGGCTCTCCCTGAGGGTTTCATTCCTATGCACACTCTCCCCCTTAACAGCTGGATAACCTTGGGGCAGCTACTTCACCTCCCTGGGCCTCCTTTCAGGAAACAGGGTGACAGTCACAACCCAGTGAGTCTGCCAAGGCACAAGCCCTGGCAGTGGAGGGGCTGGTCCCAGGGAGGTCGCTGAGCGAGGTCTGGCCGCAGCTGGGGGGCCTCCTTCCTTCTCATCTTCTGCGAGGCCRGCAGAGCCACCCCAGGTTACAGATCAGGAAACCCAAGGCCTGGACTGATTTCAGAGGCCCGGGGTCTCATGACAAATGACACATGGGAGGCCAGGCTCCTGACTTTTTTGGCTCTGACCCACGTTTCCAGAGCTGCCTTTGTGTTCTTCCCGGGCCTTCTGGCACTCACAGATGTTTTCTGGGTACTGTATGAGTGTCCTATGGCTGCAGTAACAAAGCCCCACCRACTCAGTGGCTTCAGATAACATGAATTAATTCTCTTACAATCTGGAGGTCAGGGCCCATAACCGATCTCTCCAGACGAAAAACCAAGAGGTGGGCAGGGCTTGTCCCTCCTGGAAGCTCCAAGGGAGAGTCCTTGTCCTTGTCCCTTTTTCCAGCCCCTAGAGGTGTCCATATCGCTGAGCTCCTGGCTCCTTCAGTCTCTGATTCCGATCCTCCTGCTCTTACCCTGCCTTGATGTCCTCACTGTGTGTACTAGGTCTAGGTGGCCTGCTGAATTTCTGCCTTGCCCTGATCGGACTCATCATGTGGGCTGGCTGAAGCTGGCTGAATAGGAACAGCGAGGCCACCAGACTAGGTCTGACGTCACCAGGATCTCATGTGCATGCTGGGTGGCCCCTGCCCTGATAGTGGACAAGTACCATGATGGTGACTGGTGAGGTCCACAGTAGGAGCGCAAAGAAGTGGCACCTAAGGTCCAGGGAATCCATGAGCTTCCTCCCCTTTATGAGCCTTTCTCTCCCCTTCTTTCTTTTTTTTTTTGCCTACCTCTGAAACCCCCGACCCTTACAGGGCGGGAAGCTGATTTGCAAGTTTATCTCCCACTTCTCCTTTTCTGGGCCAAGAATAAAATTCTCCTGCTCTGCCCAGTCACGCTGGGCCTCATTCCTGGTTCCACAATCTGAGAGGGAAAGGACCCAGCCTTTAGGGTCCAAAATTGCAGCAGATTCTGCACGATGGTCGGGAGGCTCTGTCTGTTTCAGTCTGGAGGCGTGGCCACCCTCGGCTGGCGGCCTCCAGCTTGAGAGTGGGTATTTCAGTGTCTCCCAGCCCCTCTCAGACGGACCCTCTGGCCTCCCTCTATGAAGACCGAATTGTGAAGGGCTTGGGATTTCCAGGAGGCAGTGTGAAGACTCCCCCCACCCCAGAAACACCTGATTCTTGTGATCAAGTCAGGAAGATTTCAGACATGCCAGAGTACTGGGCCTGAGTTTATGAAAGAAATAGGAAAAGGGGGCACTCTCAGGGAGAGAGCAGTCCCCGCAGAGAGGAGGCAGACAGTGTGCTTCCCCTGCACTTCATTTTGTTGGGATCCCAGAGAAGTTTCCAGGGCATCCAGGTCCACCTCTTGACTTCTGACCGATAGCAAGATGACATCAGACTCTCAGGTCCCCGCTGCCGTGACAACTGTAGGGTGTTCGGGGTTATTTTGGCCCATGCTGACCAGTTCTAATTGGATTCTTAACCAGATTCCTAGAGATTTTATGGTTAGGAGGAATTATCCTGATCTCCCTGAGTTTTGGGATCTGGTCTGTGAAGAGTCACAGAGGTCTGCCCCTCCAGGGTCACCTGGGATCCTCTTGTCAACACCACTTGGGCCTGCATTTCTCCTGCAGATAACAGGTCGTTTGCCAAGGAATGTGACATGGCCTGTCCACTTCAGCCAGGCAGGGCTGCAGGTCAATTGCTTCTTGGAAAAGGAAGTGGGCAGGTGTCAGCACAGTGGGCCTGTTTCATAGAATTACTCCCTTAACCTAGAGTTGCCACCCCTGACGGCTGACTGTCCCCATCACCATGATGAAATTGGCCCCCGGAGAATTCAAGATGATCTCCATCTCAGTGTCCTTAACTTAATCCCATCTGTAAACATTTTTCACAGGTTCCATGGATTAGAAATGGGTGTCTCTGAGTGACCTGAGTCTGCCTCAGCCACCTTCTTTCAGCACCCTGCTGGGCGCTGCCAAGAGGAACAAAGCCCGAGGGGTGCCTGCTGTCCTGGAGCTTCCCTTTGCAGGACTGAGGTCAGCATGGACGTGTGGTCACATAAGGGACAAATGCTTACAAGTAGGCTCCTGAGTAAAATATATTTGAATCTTGAAAAACAAGTAATTTTGGGTGTGCCATGTAATATTTAGAAAATAACATAGTTTAATATGCCCATGTAATATTTGAACCACACCAAAAATAGCAGAATATTACTCCAGTGTGCGTGGACCACGTTATAATTTATCATGGAAGGGATCTAATTGTAAGTAATGAATAAGCTCATGGACTGGATGAAAGTGGGTGTAGGGCCTGGTGCCGGGGTGCACGCCTGCAATCCCAGCGGCTGGGGAGGCCGAGGCAGGAGCTTAGCCATGGTGAGGCGCTAAGCAACTCAGTGAGATCCTGTCTCTAAATAAAATTCAAAATAGKGCTGRGATGTGGCTCAGTGGTCAGTGGAGTGCCCCTGAAGAAAGGAAAGTGGGCGCAGGTACAGAGGCACCCTTCTGGTTCCATTCTATAGCCCCCAGAATACGAAAGGCTCCGCCCCTCTCGCCTGCACATCCACCTTAGCATCCCGGGCAGTGGACCAATCAGCAGCCGAGTCTTGGCGCCAGGTTCTGAGGTCCCACTCGCCCCCTCTCCCGGGGCCTTCTGCGCAGCAGCACGGGGCGGAGCCTCGTGAGGGGCGGGGCATTGCTGAGGTTTCCCGGGCGGACTCCGCCCCCTCGCCCCTCCAGTGGCCTTAGGCCACCGGGCTGGGCGTCCCCAGGCCCCAGCCCCTGACTGCTGGAGTGGCCCTTAGGCCACCGGGCTCCCCCTCCCTCAAGCGTCCCAGGTCAGGACTGTTGGCCTCTCGGCGTCCCCAGGCCACATCCCTGGCCTCTCAGGCGTCCCTGGGCAGGGTCTGAGGCCAGCCTGGGAGGCAGGCAG